GTACTCAACTGCATAAGACAAACCAAAAATGGGGAAACTACTTTTGCTATGAATGCTAAAAGGGTGGAAAGCAAGCACAGATAAGAGTTGATGGAGTATGGATTAGAGCCTACTAAAACAATGCAACTATAACATGCTCATAGGAGAGTCATCAATGAAAATAAGGAATAAGTCTTATCATATTACTCCTGCTTAAGCGAGTTGAGTCAGAAAAACCAAGGAAACATGGTAAAATCAGAATTACAACCTGGAATTAACAAAAACCTAGAGTTCCAAAGGTAGTATGTTCCAATGCAATGAAACAAATATTTGTGCGAGGATATCAACCATGTTTTAGTCTAGATTGCAGTAATTTCAAAGTTATTTTACTTACCTTGTCTTAGACAATGACTAGAAACCAGAGTTAAATAAACATCAAAAGACACCATTGCAACACAATTACCATTAGCAGCAGTGATTTCCACTAAACGTCGTTAAGATTGAATTCAAAAAGCATCATATAAAAATTTAGAAAGAAGACAGAAATGACAGGTAGACAAGGACTAGATGTTCTATATAGCACAGTCATAATTCAGATTTTTCATCAATTCAATTCAGAATTTAGTGGAGATGGTGTACCATCACTTGGCCATCATGACCTTAACAAACTCCTCATAATTTATTTGGCCATCACCATCAACATCAGCCTCACGAATCATCTCATCAACCTCTTCGTCAGTGAGCTTCTCCCCAAGGTTGGTCATCACGTGGCGGAGCTCAGCAGCAGAAATGAACCCATTCTGGTCCTTGTCGAACACTCGGAACGCCTCTTTCAGCTCCTCTTCAGAGTCAGTGTCCTTCATCTTTCTGGCCATGAGATTCAAGAACTCAGGGAAGTCAATGGTGCCATTGCCATCAGCATCTACTTCGTTGATCATGTCTTGGAGCTCTGCCTCAGTGGGATTCTGACCCAAAGAACGCATGACAGTTCCAAGCTCCTTTGTTGTGATGCAACCTGAAACAACATCAAATACCATGTAAAAATCACCAAAAGGTAAACTCCCAATTTAACTCATGCTTGCAAATCTTAATCATGCTCAAAGGGATGGATGCCACATACACAATGACAACAAGGTTTTAAATCCTTCTGCAATCTGCATAAAACTTAAATGTCTTTCCAATTATCTTTTATATTTGGACTTTTCAGATCCCTTCCCCTAGGATTTCAAAGAAAAATTGAAAGAAATAAAATAAATAAATAAATAATTTTGTTCTGTAATTCTTCTACTGGAGGCAATAAACTATATAACCCAGGTTTAAACTACAGAACACTAATCAAGCTAAAACAATTCTTGCAAGTTCATCCAATATTTTGGAAGTTATTTTGTTCTTAAAATATCCTGTAATTAAAATATGGTTAAACATTGGAAAATGAAAGGATTGTTATAAATA